AGCGTCCTCGAATATTAAGTTGGAGTAGTAAGCAGCATGTGACATATGTGGGTTTAAGGAAGATAATTTTTTATTTGATTAAAGTAAGTTTTACTTCCTTTTATTATTTATTTTTTTGTTATTTATATGATTATATATTTTTCAATTTGAAATAAATCGAATTATGCCTCTTAAGGCAGAGAAGGAAGAAGAATGTGCAATTGGTTTATTTATTTAAGGTTTGGTGGTTGACCAGGATAATGATGATTTAGAGCATCATGTTGTTCAACCAAAAAAAAGTTATTGGATAGAGGAAAATCAAAATATGTTGACCGAGTTAGAAGGTCTGTAAAATGGAAAAACAAAGAGAAGATTGACGAGTTTTGTGGACATTTTTTCTTTTTATTATTTCTCTGTCATTTCAATTTATTGTTTCTTATTATTTTATGTTCTTTTTAGCAAGTCCAGCAATCAAATGAAGAACCTTTGAGACGATTGTTAAAGGTTGAACTAAAAGTATTTCAATTAAATGATCTGATTTTAAAACGTATTTCAGATCTTGAAATTAAAATTCAATCAAATGAATGAATAATTAATGGAGTGTCAACAAAATTTGGAATGCAAAGTAAACAAAATGCTAGCTAGTAATGAAAAAACCAATGAAGATATTCAAGAGTTTTCGAGTTTAAAATTATTACTTGTTACTTCATGGTGAGTTTTCGTCACTTTTTTAACTTTTTGTCACTTTTTAAGTATCTTTGTGACTTTTTCATGTGTCTTGTGATTTTTTTTGTAGAATGGTGTGGAGAGTATACCTGATGAAAAAATTAGGTATTTAATGACTTCCCTAATTTTTTTAGGCATTGAGTTTGAAATGGGTGGTGAGGAAAAAGTTGTTGAGGTGCCTGTCAGAAAAAAAGTGACAAGATAGTGGAAAAAAGTGATAAGGAAATAAAAAATAGTGACAAAAAAATTGAAGAAAGAAATAAAGCACTTGAAATAAATTTGAATGATGAAATAGAATTTCATGAAAATGATTGGTTAAGAGTTGATGATATTGTTGCTCATAGTTTAGTAAAATATAAGTACTTGTGTTTTCATTTTATTATCTTTTTTCCTCATAGCTTATGTATGTTTCATGTTAATATAATTTGACATTTGTATCTGTGTTATTGTTCACGTTTCAGTATGTTGCATCACCATCTGATCAAGGAAAAGTTGAATTGCTGGACAAGGAGCTTGAATTGAAAGATGAAGTTTGGGAAAAAGTTGTGAAAGTCACAACTGCAATTGAAGCTGAAAACGGAATTGAAAAGGGAAATGTTGAAACTATTGATATTGATGATGGGACCCCAAACATGACATTGAAGAGACAAAAGAAACCCGCAACACTTCTTTAGTCTCTTGGGTCAATGAATATGATTTTACATCGGTACTAAGAAATGTGTTGTAAAAGGCACTTTTGCATTTCCAGTTGGTGTGGACCCTCTAATGGCACATACTGTTGATGTTTTTGAGTTTTGGTACATGAAAGGATTGATAAGAAAAAATAAGTTGTTACTAATATTTGTTGTTTGTAAATTTTTTCAAGTAAAGTGACATTTCATGTGGCTTCTTGCATTATGTGACGTAGGCATAAACATTTTAATGATGAAAATTATATTATCAATCATTTCTTTTACTTTAGTAATATTGTTATATCTACCAAACAGTGGTGGTACGAATTGTTTACTACGAACGAATATCTGGAAGACACAATAAGTTATTTTGTTCATTGGTGTTTTAAGATTTTTTTATATAATTTTTAGTACAATTGTTAATTGCCATTTTTCCCTTTTTGTTAACATAATGATGTGTGTTTCTATCACTTGAGGAAGATGTTATGATATAGATATGGTATAAGCATGAATGCTACAACTATAGACTTCCATTTGATAGCCAAATGAGAGGTCTGTATACTGAATTTTGCCAAGAAAAGTCCGCTATAAAAAAACAGACTTCTTTTCTTTCATATGTTATCGGGTTGTTTATACCGTGCAATACAAGTTGGAGCCTTACTGATCATGTGCTTTTGCCAATGAGAATGTCAAATTCACCCCCCATTGGATTCTTTGTCATTTTAACATTCAACATATGTGCCTTAATGTTAATCCGTACCATAAGATTGTGTGGAAGGCTTTAGTAATTGAGACCGTTAAATTATTTTCTGATATAATTCCTCATCTTTTTTTCATAATGGCCTCTTTAAGGGAAAAAAAAGCATTTTAGAAGAAGATGTTTTAAAACTATTGGTTGTAAACTTCCATGACAGAATAACATGTTAGATTGATTTCTAAAGATTTTTTTTTTTCATTTGACATTCATGTATTTAATTGTTCAAGTATTTAATTATCTAATTTCTTTTTCTTTTTTGCATGCAATAAAGACTGTGGAATATATGTAATTAAGTATGCTTAGTTCTTCATTAACGGAAAGTTAAATGAATTGCCAAAGACATTTAANNNNGAATTGCCAAAGACATTTAACATTCTACATATTAGAAGAAACTTGGCAACTCAATTATATGCTTATGGAAAGAAAAAGCAAGATAAAGATTATGATACAGTTAATGAATGGGTGACAAAGGAGACTAATTAGTGATATATTGATGTGATAGAGAAGAAGATGATTTTGAAAAAGCGAAGACATTTCTTGTTATGTAATGACTTATTTAGTTTTTAAAATATTTTGTGGATGTACATAAGTTGGTTTGTAGTTGATGTCTTGTATGTAATGACTGATTTGACAAAAAGTGTTAATGTTAATAGTGGTACGACAGCTTCAACTGTTATTTTTTAAAGTTTTAAACACGTTTTCTTTATAATATCAATGGAGCAAGGATATTGGTGATGTAGCTTATCAATATTCGTGCTACTACCTAACTTTAGCATGTTTGTAATTTCTAACATGCATGCTAGTATCTTGTATAACAAAAGGTGACATAATGTCACTTTTTGTTAACATTTTTAACAAAAAGTGACATTATGTCACTTTTTTTTTATATGCTAGCAGCTTGTATGTCAATTGGCATAATCGAGGTCGAATCTATCATACTTCTCCAAGGTTAAAGTACTCTATATCATTATTTGTTCAATATTGCAATACATATAAGTGATATTATGTCCCTAGTTGTTGTATTCTGATATTTTGTATTCATGCTAAAACGTTCAATGGAGGATGCTGGAACTTGATCGATTTATTAAGTAACAATGCTTCTAATTGTGGATCCAATGTCAATGGAGCATAGATATCCATCGTCACATAAACATATTGCTGTCATTTTACACACATTTTCGATATAACTCTTTTGTGATAATTCAAGAATACCCGATCCCGGTGTATCCAAATTCCTAATACAAAAGAGGTGTCGTAAAGATCTTTCATCTTAAAATTCCTTGCTAAAAATATCTTGATTTCGTGTAATAAGCTTATATCATTGCTAGCAAGCAATATGTCATCGACATATAAAACTAGAAAAATATAATTACTCACACTGAACTTGTCATATATACAATCATCGACCAAATTCATCTCAAAACCATACGAGATGATNGTCATCCACATATAAAACCAGAAAAATATACTTACTCCCACTGAACATGTGGTATATACAGTCATCTACCAAATTCATCTCAAAACCATACGAGATGATCACTTGACGAAACTTGTAATACCATTGACGAGAGGCTTGTTTGAGTCCATAGATGGATTTCTTTAGGTTACAAACCATTTGCTTTGCATCATCTGACACAAAGTTTTCTAGTTGCACCATATAGATTG